GTGTCAGTTGAAATCTTTCAAGGATTTATTTTGTTTTAGACTATTCGTTTATGCACTTGTTTTGTTTTCATTCCAGAAATTTTCCAGCTGATATGTGGTGGAAGTTATATGTGGAGTCTACGCACCTCTATCTTTCGAGTTTGGGCAGGACCTGTCCCCATAGTGCAGTTGCTGCGGTGTAGGCCAGTAGAGGTAGTGCACAGAGTGGCTCCCCTAACGTTGTGCCTAGCATAATAAGCATACCCATGAAGAATAGAGTGTTGGCACTTGGTCGAAATTTTTTGATTGATCATCAATTTACTCAAACCAACAAGTGGTCAGTCACTTATCAATAATAATAATAATAATAAACGGTTTTTTGAAAAAGTTCTGCAGCCCGAAGGCTGAAAATATACATTAGACATAAATGACTTATTACATACTTTGGTGGTTTAACAAAAGCCTTTATTAGAGAAAGGTGAAGGAACATACAGTGAACATACAAATTAATGTTTACAGCGGAGGTCATGTAGATCATGTGAGCTGAGGTGTTGAACAGCAGACACGTAGTGTAGTAACTCCCTCACAGATGGCGTTATGAGGGGCATCACGTGGAGTAGTAGTTCCCTCACAGGTGGTGTTGTGGGGTACGTTATGTGTGGGTTCACACCCAGGATGGGATGGAGAAAGGAAACTCACAATGTGCTCTCTGTATACATGTTGTATTGGATGTACAATGCAGCTTGGTGCTGGGAAGTGGCAGCGTGGTTACAAGCGTGATGTAGAGAAAGCTGGTTGGTGAAGATGCTCAGAGAAGGACAGCTTGTGGGTCGCCATGCTCGCCAGCGGGAGCGAGGGCCGCCAGGCAGGCGGAGGAGGTGTTGCTTGCTGGTTGGTGTAGGTAGAAAGAGAGAGCTGGTTGGTGAGGATGCTCAGAGGAGGACAGCTTGTGGGTCGCCATGCTCACCGGCGGGAGCGAGGGCTGCCAGGCAGCGGCGGAGGAGGAGGTGTAGCTTGCTGCGGCTGTAGCTAGAAGAAGAGAGAGGTAGGTCACCACGAGGTCAGGTCTTATATAGCGGAGATAGGTGTGGCTTAATAGTTGACCTCCGTCATGTAAGGCGGCGCTGGTTGACCTAGACCACGAGGCATACACTGGGGAATTCGCGGGGTCGGCTACTCAGCGACAAACAGCGTTTGTAGGGGAGAAATCCACTACAATACTCCCCCTTCCCTCCAGGCGGCGTAGGAGACTTGTTGTCTGCAGGGTTGCATAGCACATGTGAGGCAGAACGGGCGGTGCATGCCACATGTGAGCCATAACGGCGATGGCGTGGATGAGCCGGCCGCTAGTGGAGGCAACTGTCTAGACACACAAGATCTGTGGGAGAAGAGAGGGAGAAAGAGGGTTGTGGAGGTGATGAATGTTGTGTTTTCCTCACGGCAGGTACAGAGTCGTCAGATGCACCTGCTGGGGTGTGTGGGCCTGGGTCAGGAGCAGGGGCTGCGTCAGCAGAAGCGGATGAGGGCTCGTGACAGCAGCTGGGTCCACGACAGCAGCAGGGTGCAGGACAGTAGCAGGGAGTACCTGAGGGAGAAAAGAGGGGTGTGTTGGTCCGCACTCAGGCGCATGGGCCGCGTCGGGAGCAGGGGTTGCATCAGGAGGAGCGGCAGGGGGTACTGCTGGGCCAGGGGAGGCGTCTGAGGCAGGACGGGTGTGCTGGGGTCGGTAGGACGTGGTGCTTGGGGCAGGAAGAGGAGCTGGTGTCTGCTTAGAGAAGCAGTGCTGCTCTAGGATGTCTAACCTGCGGTGTAGAGACAGTAGCTGTAGAGCCGATGAGAGCTGCCTCTGTGTGGATAAGCCAGTCTTCCATGTTGCTTGAAGACTGGGAGCGTGATCGGTTTCTCCTCCATCCTGTGTGAGTGCGAATCTCCGGGGGTCACCATTTGTGGGGTACGGGTGGTTTGGGTTCACACTCAGGATGGGATGGAGAAAGGAAACTCACAATGTGCTCTCTGTATACATGTTGTGTTGGATGTACAATGCAGCTTGGTGCTGGGAAGTGGCAGCGTGGTTACAGGCGTAATGTAGAGAGAGCTGGTTGGTGAGGATGCTTAGAGAAGGACAGCTTGTGGGTTGCCATGCTCGCCGGCGGGAACGAGGGCCGCTAGGCAGCGGCGGAGGAGGAGGAGGTGTTGCTTGCTGGTTGGTGTAGGTAGAAAGAGAGAGCTGGTTGGTGAGGATGCTCAGAGGAGGACAGCTTGTGGGTCGCCATGCTCGCCGGCGGGAGCAAGGGCTGCCAGGCAGCGGCGGAGGAGGAGGTGTAGCTTGCTGCGGCTGTAGCTAGAAGAAGAGAGAGGTAGGTCACCACGAGGTCAGGTCTTATATAGCGGAGGTAGGCGTGGCTTAATAGTTGACCTCCGTCTTATAAGGCGGCGTTGGTTGACCTAGACCACAAGGCATCCACTGGGGAATTCGCGGGGTCGGCTACTCAGCGACAAACAGCATTTGTAGGGGAGAAATCCACTACAGTGTTATGAGGGGCTTGACGTGGTGTAGTAATTCCCTCACAGATGGTGTTATGAGGGGCCTGATGATGTAGTAATTCCCTCACAGATGGTGTATGAGGGGCCTGATGTGGTGTAATAATTCCCTCACAGATGGTGTTATGAGGACCATCACATGGCGTAGTAATTCCCTCACGGATGATGATATGCGGGGCATCATGTGGTGTAGTAATTCCCTCACAGATGGTGTTATGAGGAACCTCACATGATGCTGTAGCAACTCATTCACTATGTGGTGTCGTAACATCATGGGGACACCACCTCACTTACTCAAGTGAGTGAGGTGTGGTACCAGGCCTCCCCATTGTGGAGTCTCAGGGGAATTATCACTGGGTACCTGGGACCTCACTGTGTGAAGGTTAGCTTGGGTACGACTCAGCTGTTTCTGTTGAGTTGTTTTTCACTGACTTAAGCACTGTTCACCACTATTCAACACTGGTTCCATTCCTTTCCCAAATGAAATAGTAACTTCTGGTAAGAACGTATTGATATTCTGGTGGGGTGGAGGGTTCAGGGGAGGTAGTTGGTATGGGCCAACATAATAGTTGACGTGGCTGCTGCTAGATCAGCGCCAGGTGCGTCTTGACCCGTCTTGACCCACAGTATAGTCTCGGTTTACGCGGATTTGGTTTATTCGTTTGGTCATTTATGTCGCACCTTGCCAGACCGACAATTTTTATTTACACGGTTCATTCCATCATTTACGTGGGAAGTGGCACGGGCAGGGTGCGCACGAGGTCGCCCAGTCAACAAAACATTACCGAGTTCTTCACCCGCCACCCACCACAGCTGGCCCAAGTCAGTGATAATGAGGATATGGACTTTAAGGGGTTTGACAAGAGGCCCTGCAAGCCTCTGTGGTAGATAGTGATACAGTTGATACAGGTGAGGGCCAATAATCTGCCCTCTGCCTCGGAACCAACCTCCCATCCCCGTGTGCCCAGCCATCTTTTCTACTAACGTAAGTGTTAAAAACCTAATATTATTGATATTTCTCTTTAATATTAATTGTGTGCATACCATCATAAAATTAAGATGTTATTTTTACTACAACGTATGTACTGTGTTGGAAAAAGGGTAGTTTGGGGGTCGGCCCAGTCTCTATTTCAATTAATCCCATATGTTCTGTTATTTCGTTTACGCGTTTCTCGTTTTACGCGGACCTCCACGGGTTATATTGACCACGTAAATGAAGACTGTACTGTACTGGATAATTTGCTACAGACCTTTTGTACATGTAGGTAGAGCAGTTCCTTTAACTGATTATTTAAATTTGCATGGAAGACGAGACAAATCTTTTACATATGTCAAATGAAAAGAAACAGAGACTTACCTCAGTAATCAAAGATGCACACTATAAATCACAATCTAAATTCTAATATGGAAAGTTTTACTGTACTGTTAACTAACTGTTCATGGGTGTTAAGTAACCACTACTACAACTCAGTAATGTAAACATCATGGGGCATGAACTTTCTGCATGTTTACAACCAATGCAATTAGACAAATCTCCTCTGGTTAATTCATCCTTTCCTTCAGCCTTAAAATGAGAGGCATCTATGTGTCTTTGGTGTACATCTGACGTTGTGAATGCTGTGCAGTAACCCAAACAATCAGGATCAAGTGGAACAGATTTTGATGAACCTTAGTACAGTGCAGGTACTCCTGTATGAATATAAACTGACAATTTCACCAATGTGAATGGTAATTACTGTAGTACTGTATCTTCAGGCTACTGTATATATATATATTGGAGAATTGTGGCTTCTTTATGGTTCTCTGTGCATATGTACTTCTGGTTTTGGTAATGTCACATGATAACTTAGTCAATAATGAATATTAATGAGCTTTGCTGTCTAGTATGGACATACCCCAATAAGTTCTTGGATAATTTTTTTTTTCTGTGTGTGTGTGTGCGTGTGCACACACACACACACACACACACACCTGACTATATACTGTAAATGCATGAACGTGAAGAGGTGGTCAGTGATATTTTGTTCACATCCCTTAAGGATTGACAGTGTGGTAAATGTAAACAACTTTACACACTAATGAGTGTAATGAACCTTGGAACCAGAAACCCTACATATCAGAGGTACAATACATACAGTACTGTACTTATGTACAGTATGGTCCCAAAGGCTATACAGTAATGTACTGTAATGACAAATTATCACATATTAGTACATAAAACAAAGTACATACCACTTATCCTAAGAGCCCAAATTAAACATTGGTACAAGTTTAGACGTGGTAATAAGTAGTATATAAAATAATTATGTTTAACACATACACAATAGGTTGCAGGCATTGTGAAGAACTTGTGTATGTTAGATGAGGAGGGTGGGGTGTGGCTGCCTTAGTTCATATACTGTACTGTAGTACATCTCTGTTTCTAAATACAGTAAAATCCAAGTTAGAAAGGTTTGGCTCCTTTTGTTCTCCTCTTTTAGAGTTGTTCCAGCGGGTGTGTGGGCTAACTCACATATGGGGTTGGCAGCTGCAGTTCGTCCGGGCCTGGCTGGGGATGCGTCCCTTCCTTTTATTCTACCATGCACCCAGTGTTGAGGTACACTGCCTTCCATGCTAATTTTATGTCATGTGTTCTTTGTTATTTTGCTATAAACTGGTACTTCTGGTCCCTATACATTACTGTATACAGTAATGATTTAAATTTTGATTCATTGGTGTTTCATACTGATACACATGCTTTTGAGGAAGATTGGTCTGAGGGGCACTGGAGGAGAACATTCAAGCCGATCACTGGTGAAGAGGATAAAAGTAAAAAGTAAAGTAAATGAGATTTGTTGATATGAAATACAGTACCAATGTTGCTTAAAATGTGTTTCTGAGAGTACCCGTAGACTCCCCCAGGTTTTTCGAGGACAGAATCTATTTCTCAACATTTTTCCCTGATAGGTTGATGTATCAGATTGCAGGAATTTGTCATAATTTTCTTGTGTTTTCATGTCTAAAAATGTACCAAGTTTTGAACCAGTAAAACTGATAGATTTTGAGTTACAGCCACTTCTTGCAGGGTTGTGGCTCATATAGTTGGTGTTGTATCCTTTCATTTATCCCTGTGAAATGGTTGTGGTATAAAGGTTATCACCATTCTTCTTCCGCAGCTTCAATTAATAAACTGGTTCACAGATCTATCACTGCAAGAGAGGAAGACTTTGCTTCTTTGTCTGTTCTGTTATGTAGCCATGGTGAGCTCTAAGTTGTGAAAAATCGTTTGTGTATCATTAAACAATGTTAGGAACATGTAGTAACTTGAAAATAAAGGTGCATTCATAACACACAAGTACTGTATTGACAAATGAGAAACATTTACAATATATTAAAAGTGAACATTTCTCTCCAGCACATCACTAGAGGCCACTTGAACCTGAGAATGAAGGTTGCTGACCAATAAAAACTAAGGATTCCTTTGTCTCATTTCAGTCTCTTGATGCCATATGTAAGGTTTAGAATTGAAATACCCGGTACTGTAAACACTTTATGCAGTATATTCAGCACTGTATACACAAAATTTTAATTATTGAGCATATACACTGAACATTTAATAACTCATAATACAGCCTCTCCCCTACTTACGACGGGGTTAGGGACCCAATTCCAGGTCATAAGTCAAATTGGTCGTAAGTCGAAAATGCGAAAATAATACATAGAAAATCTAAAATAGGTGTCTCTTTTTCTTCTCACCACCACAAAACTCTCACTTTTAAGCATGCCAGCCATTTTAAATGGAATTACAAACGAAAATTTTGTCAGTACACAGCGCAATCACTAAAGTCGGGACTCGAAAATATGTAATCTGAAAATTTTTTGGTAGGACTGGGGCGGTCGTGTGTCCGGGTGGTCGTAAGTCGGGTAGGTCGTAAGTTGAGAGTTTACTAACCATCTAGGAGTATAGCCTATTCTTTTTATTAAGAGTTTTGATTGGCTGGGATTTCAGATCAAATGTTCCTAATGCCCTGGATTAGTCTCATCATTCCCCTCTGAATGCTTTCTAGGGATTCTATATCCATTCTGTAGTACGGTGACCAAAACTGAACTGCATAATCCAATTGAGGTCTGACAAGTGCAAGATGTAGTTTTAGGGTAACCTCGCTACTCTTGTAACTAACACTCCTTTGTATGAACCCAAGTACTTTATTAGCTTTGTTTTGAGCAAATACGCATTGTTGCCTTCGTTTAAGATCCCTACTTATCATTATTCCTCAATCTCTCTGTCGGATATCTCTATATCAACGTCTTCATCTGATATCTGGTTTCTCTGTTTACATCTCCTAGGATAAGTACAGTAGTACTTTACATTTTTCCACATTAAATTTCATCTTCTGCCATTTTTCAGACCATGCAAAATTTTTTTTTAGATCTTCCTATAGTTTTGCGGAGTCCTCGTCAGATTTAATTTCCCGCCCTATTTTAGTGTCATCAGCAAATTTACTTTTGTTGCTGTCTATGCATATATCTGTGTCGTTTATGTACAGAGTATATGAGAAATAGTAATGGTCCAGGTATTGAGCCTTGGGGTACTCCACTAGTAGTAATGTTACCCCAATGAGATATAGTGCCAATAATGCTGACTAGCTGTTTCCTGTCCTCTAACCATGCCCTAATCCTGTTTGGAATATCTCCTCCAATTCCAAGAGCTTCCACTTTACATATTAGTTTTTCATGGGGAACCTTGTTGAAGGCTTTGCTTAAGTTGAGGTAAACTGCATCATAATCGTGTCCATCATCCACTGATTCGAACACAGTTGAAAAGAATGATAATAGATTTGTCAGACATGAATGCCCACTTGTGAGGCCATGTTGGGAATCATTGATCAACTTGTGCTTCTCCAGGTGATTTCGAATCGAGTTTGAAATTATTGCTCCCAGTAATTTGCCTACAATTGATGTTAAACTATTTGGACAGTGTTAGAGGATAGTGATTTATCTCCCTTCTTGAAAATTGCATGTACAGAGTTTAATTAAACGAATAGAATAGTCTGTTCTATGTTTTAAATTTTTTATATTTTATTAAAAATTAATGGTACTAAATGTAATTGTACTGAACAGTATATAAAATTGTACAATGATAAATTAGAATTACCTAGTACTGTACTGCACTTGGAAAAATAATGATTTTCTTAATATTGTACTATACTATTCAGTAAGTCTCTACTGAGTACCAATCACTAAATCTTTATTAAGTACCATTCAGTAAGTCTTTATTGAGTACCATTCACAAAGTAATGATTACCATCCACAAAGTCGTAGCTCCTGCAACAGACAACTTTTGTGATATTGGTTCAGTACCAACTGAGGTTGAATGTATGAAGAGTGTCGTCTGATGGGATCTATTGAACACCGCAGGTTTGCTCCAAAAGTAACACGGTACTCATGGGCGATGAACCACAAGGGGAACCAATTATCCATCAGTGATTCTCAAAGTGATGTTCCATATTCAAGTACTGTACACCATTGTTGGGCACCTGGAAGAAACAGTATGGAGAAACTCATCCCTGTAACCATTTTCTTCACTCTTAATGCATGGATAAATTTACTCTCTTTTTTCTTTTGTTTTTTGTTGTTTTGTTGTGGGTGCTTCATCTGCTAGTGTTACAGTACTTGCCCTGTTCAGTCTCTAGTTGACATTTCTTTTTATTTTGTTCTTTGGTGCTGTTATTATTGTTGTTCCTTTAACCTTTATTGTTGTTGCTTCTGCTAGCTCATCTGTTTCTTACAATCCCATTTTCTTTCTTTTTTTTATACTACACTGTCTGAACAGCATTCTGAGAATACCCTGTATTATATATTGGGTAGTGACCAGGTATTGGGATTAGAATGTTCCCAAATTATTACATCTATGGAGGCAATTTAGCTTTTAAAAATATGAGAAGGTGTTAGATTTCCAAACCTATTGTGTTTTCTCTCTCATTAAATAGTTTTGAGTTTTAATGCAGGTGAATAGTTATATCCAGTTTCTCTAATAAGTACTTTTACTTTTTATCCTCTTCGCCACTGATCGGCTTGTTAGCCGCTTGGGCGATCGGTCACGTCTCTTTTCATTTATATTCTTCACCAAAAGATCGGCTCGCTAGCCGCCCGGGCGATCGGTCACGTCTCTGTCACGCACTGTTGGCAAATACTGGGCATGCACCGGCTCCTGAATGTACCTGAACCCGCTCCAGTGTTGGTCAAGTCTTCTCTTGAAAGAGCTCACACTCGGTGCCGTCACAACACTCTCTGGTAGATTGTTCCAAGAGTTTACAACCCTCACTCCGAAAAAGTTTGCCCTCACGGTTTTCTGGACTTGCGGCTTCTTCAATCTTGAGCTGTGACCCCTTGTGGGGCGAGTGTCCGCCAGCTCCAAGTAAGGACACTCAACTGAGTAGTGCCCCCTGAGATGCTTATAAACCTCAACTAGGTCCCCCCTTGCCCGTCTGTAGTATAAGCTAGGCAAGTTCAGGCGCTCCAATCTCTCAGGGTAGCTGAGGTGCCGAAGTGCAGGCACCAGTTTGGTGGCCCTCCTTTGAACATTTTCAACCAACTGACAGTCCCTAGCATATCTCGGGGACCAGATGGGGTGACAGTACTCCAGATGGGGAAGCACTTCACTCCTGAAGATCGTCACGAGGGACGGACCGTCTAGATATCTGAACGACCTTCTTATAAGACCCAATAATTTATTTGCCTGATTTACCTTCTTCTCACAATGGCCCGAGAACTTCAGCTCATTGTCAACATACACACCTAGGTCCTTCTCACATTCAGTCTCAACTAGTGCAGTTTCTTCATCCCATTGGGACATACGATACGCCTCCTTACCGTTGGTACGCCCAAGGTGCATTCTCTTACACTTAGTGACATTGATTCTCAGCAGCCATTCCTTCGACCATTCCTGGAGCCCACAGAGGTCCTTCTGCAGCTCTTCACAGTCCGCTTGGTTCTTAATTTCCCGAAATAACTTGCCATCATCGGCAAACATTTGTATGGAGGAGTGTACAACGTCAGGCATATCATTTATGAAACAAACAAACAACAGCGGGCCCAATACACTACCCTGCGGTACCCCACTTGTTACAGGTACAGATGACGATTTCGTGCCATTAATCACCACACATTGCTTGCGGTCATGTAGAAAGTCTTCTATCCACGCTAGGACATTTCCCCGAATTCCGTACCCTTCCAGTTTGATTTTCAGCCTTTCGTGGGGTACACTGTCGAAAGCCTTGGCAAAATCTAGGTAAATATTGTCGATATTACCACCCCGTTCTAGAATATGGGTCCAAATATCCAATACCTTGAGCAATTGTGTCAAGCAAGAGCGCCCCGGCATAAAACCGTGTTGGCAATCTTTTACAAGGTTGTTTCGTAGTAGATGTTCCATCGCTGCATCTCTGATAATACTCTCAAGTACTTTACATATTATGCTGGTCAGGCTCACCGGTCTATAGTTGTTCGTGGAGTGACTATCGCCCTTCTTGAAGATAGGACTCACATAAGCCACTTTCCATTCACTGGGGACCATTTGTTCATCCAGGCATTTACAAAACAGAATCTTCAGGGGCTCTGCAAGCTCGTTGCACAGCTCTCTTAGCACTAGGATGCACCATGTCAGGTACCTACAGTATTAATGTTAGGTTACCTCACAGGAATCAGTTCAAGGATGTAGAATGTAATACGGTATGTCTTTAATGTTCAACCAGTGAAAGTAACTAACTGCAATACTGTATATTTTCTATAAGAAATAATATAACTTCTCTATCAACTCTTAATTGGCTAAGTGGGATGTCGGATCACTTGAAGAATTTCCACTCCAGCTTACTTTGCCTAACTATTAACCACAATCATGATTATAGGGAGCTGAGGTTAGGTTAGGTTAGCTAAGCATTAGGGTGTTTAATCTATAGGTGAAATAAGCTTGGGTGGAGACTCTTCAGGTGATCTGGAATATCTTGCATTATAAAAGAATCCATAGCTCATTGTAAGTTATATAAAGTTTTTCATTTTGTAATATCTTTGTACAGAAGTGCTGACTGCTAGTGAAAGTAGTTATTGTTATTGATTCTGTGCAGTATTGCAATACTTGAGCTAATAATTGAAAGGAGTTTATGAATACTATTGTATACAGTATCTTACAGGCTTGTGTCTTATATATAAAACCTGTACCTGTACGAGTATATGGTCAGGGAAGTGTCAGAATAGATGTTTTCATGATTATGCATATAAGAAATACTGTACTGTATTGTAGTTGAAATGTGAATACATAACTGTAATTTTGAATTTACTGTAACAGGAATATAGTATTTATTGATTTCCTTATTTTGCCTGAATATATTAGCTTGAAATTTCATTAATTTCATTAATAGATTAGATGGAATAAGACTTAGAAAACAGGTTGAGTCATGACTACAAATGCATGAGTTATTTTATTCAGGTAATCCTAAGCAGTCAGAAACACCTGGACAAGAGCCTGGACTACACTTTCCTCCACCCTTGGCTTGGCACTGGGCTTCTCACCTCCACAGGTTATTAATTTTATACTCATTCTGTGTCTGGTACTGTATTAAGGCACCTGTACGAGGATGTATAAACTATAACTTAAATTTTATATTTTCATATTTCCTTTCATACAAAATCAGTTACGATATATAAGAACCTTAACAGGTACCTGTATATGATTACTTACTGTATTAAAAAAATTTTGTGCCTAATACTGGTACATGTATTGTCCACTTGTCCTCTTAATAGAATCTTTCTTAAATACTTCATCCTTTCAGGTGCCCAAAACTAAAAGTGTTCTCTGATTTACAGGAAGTAAATGGCATTCCCGCAGGAAGCTTCTGACTCCTGCCTTCCACTTCAAGATCCTGGATGACTTTGTTGAGGTGTTCAACAACCAGAGCAACAAGATGATTCACAAGTTACTGAAAAAGGCAGATGGGAAGCCTTTTGACATCTTCCCCTTCATTACTCTCTGTACCCTTGATGTTATATGTGGTAAGATTGTCTTAGTTGTTTAGAAAGACCCACAATACAGTATGTACTGTATTCTAATATGAATACTGTACAGAATAATTTTTTTGATTAACCCAATTTTTTCTACTCTCAGTTTTAATCTTATTGACAAGTTGTCTTTATTTCTACTTCTACTAATTAGCCAGAATATTCTTGAGACATTTATTTGAAAATTTACCTTATTTGCCTAATGGCCATTCACTAGAGGTGGCCATGAAAAGGAAAGGAGGCCAGTGGACACTGTGGGATCCCCTCATTGACTCCACAGCGTGTGCTGGTAGACTGTTCCATGGGTCTACCACACTATGTGTGAAAAAACTACTTCCCTATATTCGTTCTGCATGATAACCTGGCAAGCTTGTAATTATGTCCTCTCATGTGAGTGGTGCTTGACATCACAAAGAAATGGCCCAGGTTCACGTTTCCATCCCTCTCAGGATTTTGAATATTTTAATGATAGCCTAAATGTTCTGTTGTGCCTTGTCTGAAGGGTTGTTAGTCCTAAGGCCCTCAGTCTACTTGGATAATCAATATGACAGTTCTGGAATCATCTTAATTGGTCTGTGTTGTACCTGTTCCAAGGATTTTAGATCTTTCTGGAAGTAGGATTTCCAAGCCCGTATACAGTAATTCAGACTAGGATACACTTGAGATTTGTACAGTTGAAGGAACATTTTCATATCTTTGTATTCAAAGTTATGCTTTATAATTCCCAAATCTTGGTTTGCTTTTCTCACTGCTGCTGCATGATCTATCACAATGCCTAAATATTTCTCCTTGTCGACAGTATCCAAGAAAATGTTATTAACACAATACGTACAGTACAGGGTTGTAGCTGTAATCAGGGTTTTTATATCCTGGTAAGAGCAGATTACTTTATTGGCTAGGTATTTACTCGTATTACATGTGGTACATATATAAATTTGTACAACTGATGTAACACATGTCTTTTGTTGCTGAGGACCAAAATCATAATTTTAAGATCTTCCTTATGACAAAATTAAAGCTCAGAAAATAAGACTTAGTGAACTTACCTAGAGTTCCATGTTTTACTTTTTTACTATTATCCTCTTCACCACTGATCGGCTTGTTCGCCACTTGGGCGATCGGTCACGTCTTTGTTACTTTTCTTTTTCTTTTGTCCTCTTCACCAAACGATCGGCTCGTTAGCCGCTTGGGCGATCGGTCACGTCTCTGTTACGCACTGTTGGCAAGTACTGGGCATGCACCGGCTCCTGAATGTACCTGAACCTGCTCCAGTGTTGGCCAAGTCTGATCTTGAAAGAGCTCACACTCGGTGCCATCACAACACTTTCTGGTAGATTGTTCCAAGAGTTCACAACTCTCACTCCAAAAAAGTTTGCCCTCACAGTTTTCTGGACTTGCGGCTTCTTCAACCTTGAGCTGTGACCCCTTGTGGGGCGAGCATCCGCCAGCTCGACTGAGTAGTGCCCCTTGAGATGCTAATACACCTCAATTTGGTCACCCCTTGCCCGTCTGTAGTATAAGCTAGGCAAGTTCAGGCGCTCCAGTTTCTCAGGGTAGCTGAGGTGCCGAAATGCAGACTGGTGTACCTCCTTTGAACATTTTCAACCAACTGACAGTCCCTAGTTTATCTGGTCCCCAAGATATGCTAGGGACTGTCAGTTGGTGACAGTACTCCAGATGGGGAAGCACTTCACTCTTGAAGATCATTACGAGGGACGGACCGTCTAGATATCTGAACGACCTTCTTATAACACCCAATAATTTATTTGCCTGATTTACCTTCTCGCAATGGCCCGAGAACTTCAGCTCATTGTCAACATACACACCTAAGTCCTTCTCGCATTCAGTCTCAAATAGTGCAATTTCTTCATCACATTGGGACATATGATACGCCTCCTTACCGTTGGTACGCCCCAGGTTCATCCTCTTACACTTCGTGACAGTGAATCTCAGCAGCCATTTCTTCGATCATTCTTGGAGCCCACAGAGGTCCTTCTGCAGCTCTTCACAGTCCATTTGGTTCTTGATTTCCCGAAATAACTTGACATTATCAGCAAACAATGCATTACATTCCTTCAGTTTATTTTGCGGTAAATATAAAGTGATGTCTAAAGATTGGCACATAACAAAACAAAGGATTGTTTCACATGAATATCAAATGCACAAACTAACAGAAAATACTGATATTATAATTTTTATTTCACAGTTTCTCTGAATTTTACCTTTTTTATACCATTAAGTTTAGATATGACTGTTTTACTAACTTGGGCTCCTAGGAAGGGCAGGAGTACTATACTGTACTGTATAAGACATTTAAAAAGTACAAGTTAGTTACCATACAACCCCAGCATTTTAGAATTGGTCACTGTATCAAAGTGATTTTTTTCTCAGTTACCTTAATTGGTTTTCCTCGTGCTCACTGTGTTATTTCATCACACAGAAACAGCAATGGGGAACAACATAAATATCCAAGACAATAGTGAGTCAGACTATGTTCAAGCTGTATACAGGCAAGTATCATCAAGAGAACAGGACTTTTTAACAAAATTTACAAGTAATTCATGATATCAAACCAAAAAAACAAAATTCATACTGTATTTAATAATCTATTCTTATTATATACAGTAGAGCCATAATTTTTCTTAGAAAAAAAAAATTCATTTTTGATTACCAGTAACACTTGTTATAATGCAAAGCATAATTATATTTCTTTTAAGATTAAACTGACAGGAATCGACAGCCTCTTCATATAATGTATTTTCATCTAGGATTGGTGCACTTGTTCAGTACCGTCAAGCACGACCTTGGTTGCATCCCAACATTCTCTTCAAGCTCCTTGGGTATGCAAAGGAGCAGGATGCATGTCTTAAACTCCTCCATGACTTCTCATACAAGACTATTAGAAGCAGACGCAAAGAATACCAGCAAATGAAGAAGAACACAACGTTTAATGAAGATGAAATAATTGGTAGGAGAAGATGATGGAAATTTTTAATTGTGTTTAGCTGTAGAGCATTGTAGTATCTTTACCACACTCTGGAGAGATTAATGTCTCTAGCATACTCAGGAAATACTGGTATCTTTTTCACACTCAGAATAGATTAATATCCATTGTACACTCAGGAGAGATAAAGTTGTTTTTTTCACACCAGGAAAAAAGAAACGTTTGGCATTCTTGGACCTGTTATTGGAGTATTCTGAGCAACATACTGCATTGTCGGACGTGGACATCCGTGAGGAGGTTGACACCTTCATGTTTGAAGGCCACGACACTACAGCAGCTGCCATCAACTGGTCGCTTTACTTGATTGGCTGTTATCCAGGGATCCAGGTAGAGCAATGATTACGAGCATTTAGTTACAGAGTCATTAATATAATGTATTTTGAATAACACATTAACTCATCTGAAAGATGGTGAGATTATTAAGTGCAAAACTTATATTCTTTGGTATTGGTATGGAAACAGTTTATTTAGCCAGAAAAATACAGGTACAGATTGGATAATAATAACAATATTAACATGGCTGAGCCAGTTGAGAACCTGAGCTTTCTTGATGTAAGTTCCTATCAGGTACCATCATCATTATACCTATTATCTTTGTCATCACTATCATTATGTTCATTACCACCTTCACCATCACCACCAGGGGAAGTCAAACACTTGGTGTATAAAATATACTGTCTTCTAGAAATTTGGTATACAGTACTACAGGGTTACAAGGAGGATGTCTGTATTACATGCCAATCACCCTTCAAGACCCCTCCACCATGTCAATCCATCATTTAAGTAATCCACAATCGGAAGTTACACGTGGTGATACTAAGCCTTGGTTAGGTGGCGTGATCGGGGTATGTGACTACAACTGGCTGTTATCATTATAAGGAAGGAAGTTGAACTCCGACACTACAGTGTGTCGAAACCATAGCCGTTTGAGGAAATAGGATAGATATGTATTGTATATGTATATGTTACATAATCAGGTATACAGTTCATTATTGCATACTGTTTATGGGATACTCTTCCTCCAAAAATGTCTTTACAATTGTTGATATTTTGTAAAACCAAAACTTATTAATTTAGATATCATTAGTTGTGCCTGTAAATCACCAGGGCAATAGGCTGTGCTCTCTTCTTCAGGCTCGTGTGCATGAGGAACTTGATTCCATCTTTGGTGACTCTGACCGCCCGGTGACCATGGCTGATCTTCGTGAGATGAAGCTGACAGAGAACTGCATCAAAGAGGCTCTTAGACTTTTTCCATCTGTGCCTTTTCTGGCCAGGGAGTTGAAGGAGGAGGCCGTCATTGGTATGAACTTCATTATTTGTTTTAAACTGAGACTGGAAGATATACAGTGCAGTATATTAATTGAGATTTAAAACAGTAATAATTAGTGAGCCGATGCAATAGTACCTACTGCTTTACAGAGTACAATACATATCCTGAAATTTCTTAGATTGTCAAGTTAGTTTAAAAATAATAATTAATTTAGGTTTGAGATGACTTTCTTGTCTTTAATATTTATAAAAATATACTCAACAATACTGTACTACAGTATTTCAGGGATTTCTTTCTAAATTCCTAAACATAACGATTATGCCCGACAGACAATTACCGTATTCCTGTGGGCACAACTGTTATGATTGTGACTTACCAACTGCACCGTGACCCAGAACAGTTCCCCAACCCAGAAGTATTTGACCCAGATCGCTTTTTACCAGAGAACGTCAGCAAGCGTCATCCATATGCCTATGTTCCCTTTAGTGCTGGGCCCAGAAACTGTATTGGTAAGTTTGTGAAATGATATTTGTCATTCATAACATCACCAATTCATATTTCTCTTACCTGTTCATGTTCTAGAATAATATTTGGGTAGATTAGATTAGTATCATAAAACATTATTAGTTTCTGTTTTACACAAACAGCACTGACTTTTCAAGTAACAGAGATTAGGATTATTGAAGACCATTCTACTTGTACCAACCTGTTTTTTATGTGGAAAAGACTCATAGGAATAAATCACTTTTGTTGTTTTTCACTGTTACTATAAATATGTAACTGTAATTTTTAATTATATTTTCTGCAATAGAATGTAGGTGACCATATAAAACAATCAGAGTACAGTACTGTCCTTATATCTGAGGAATGGCGACTACAATACCTCCACTCTTAATGTTTTCAGGTTGTTTTTACCAATCCCTTGAGATTTTGCATCTCTCTGGGCAACCCAGTTTTTAACAACATTCATCCATCCCAGTCTCTGCTTTCCCCTGACCTTCCTACCCTCAACTTTGCCCATTAATATTTTTGTTAATATCCTCTCATCCCTAATTATATGATCAAAGTATCTTGTTTTCCTGTTTCCGTAAGTCTCAAGTATTTCTCTTGAAGTTTTTGCCAACCTTAGCACTGCTTCATTTGTTTTCCTCTCGGTATAACTTATTGTCCTGAAGCACCACATTTCAAATGCCTTTTAACTCTTTCTGGTGTCTGCTGAAAGTGTCCTGACCATATATTGTATAGCATTCCACCTTATTTTTCTCAAATTGAAGTTAATGTCCCATTTTATTAGGTATTTTAGATTATTAAATGCTGTTTTTGCTTGACCTATTCTTATGATTTCTTTCCATCCAATTACTTTGAGACTGTCAACTGAACTGCTGTTTTATACAGCATCATTAGTATCTAGGCTGTGATTGATAATTAATATTTTCTAAAGTTATGGCCCTTGTTCAGCTTAGAAATTTTGGCAGGAATATATACACCACCATCTGTGGTACTGTACTATATAGTCATATTAATTCACCTTTTTAACTCATAAAAATTTCCTCACCGAATTGACTTTAAAAACATTTTCACACATTTTCTTCTAGGCCAGAAGTTTGCAATTATGGAGGAAAAAATTCTGCTGAGCAGCATTCTTCGTAAGTTCCGTGCAGAGAGCGTCACCCGTAGAGAGGACCTCAGGTTACTCGGAGAACTCATTCTCCGACCAGAAAATGGAAACACTGTTAAACTTTTCCCTCGAGAATAAGTCATATGTACAATGAATTCATGTAACTTGGGGAGAATATGGGTGAAATGTAGAGGAAATGGAAATCAGGGATAACAATAAGCATGAATAGTTTTCACACAACTCTTTTGTAGATTAAACCTGACCTAAAAGCATGTCTCAAATGTGGATACTGTACATGTCAAACGGTGGTTTGGAGAGGAAGTGGATACCAGCACTTTCACAGTGTTTAAATGTCTGCTTTAAAATAATATTGTATAAGAGTACAATACAGCAAAAAGAAATATTACAGAATATATATATATATATATATATATATATATATATATATATATATATATATATATATATATATATATATATATATATATATATATATATATATATATATATATATATATATATATATAAAGTATTGTAAATGGAGAAATATTGAAATGTTTGTTATATTTTGGAATTAAAGCTCAACTTTTACTCATAGTTTAGGTATAATTTGTCATTGTTATAAATTTTTAGTCCTTGTATGAATGTGTTTTACTGTATGGTACTGTATATGGTCCCAAAAAGGGTGTGAGCAGCAAAACTGTTGCAGCTGTTGTCTTAAGTGTTCATTATAAACTGACATAACAGAAGGGGCATAGATTGTGGAGGGGATTCTTCCCCCTCTACAATTGAGTTGGAATATTTCTTATATAATTATCTCCCCCCCCCCTACAAGTAATGTAATTCTTAATAAAACCATTGCAATTTCAATTTCCCAAACTTAGTTCAAATTTCCCACTTACTGGAGCTTGTGTCTCAAGCTGAAATCGAGGGGAGTGCTCCGAGATTCTCAATTTTCATTAGCTGGCTGATTCCATCATCTTGAGGGGACATCCAGTGAGACTCCAGGGATTTAAAATAAACAAAAAAGAGTTAGTTTTGTGTGCAAGTTGCCCAGAAGAGAATGCCATTTGTAAGTTTGAGTTTTTTATAATAGTTTTTAATAGTTTTAAGTACAAAAGTAATTGGTAATTGTCAAGCTTTTATTAAAAAATACCAACAAGGTCTTACCAGGCCTGACTTCCCATCCTCTGAGATGTGATAGCTCATGACATTGGAGTCTACCTGTAAGTGCTTCTGGTCATACCTAATATGGCAGTCCCAGCAAGTCAGTTCTGCAAAAAACATTATGCTTTCTAAAATTATATAAAAAATATACAGAAATTTGTTATGGCTCTGTTCAGAGGTGCATTTCAAGTTTCAGAAGTCATCCCCCCCTTCAATCACAACAAATCTATGCCAATGAATGCCAGAATATTTGATTGACTATTATTTAACCCTTAAAGCCCGGGTGACGTTCCTTTGCGTCCACCATAGCGACCTTGGGTGACGTTCCTGTGTGTCCTTAATTTTCGATGCTTAGTTTGAATGTCCAGGCAGGACGAAGTACTTTGTACAGGATATTTGTTTACTTGGCAACTCAACTCACATGTAATCTTTGTCTCAAGTCTTGTGGTCCAGTAACCCACCACCAACTATCATAATGGATGCACATTCTTTGATTTCTCGTGACCCGCCATGCTCCTCCACACCATCGACAGTAGTGCTATTCAACAATACAGTTGTTTGATTTGAGTAGCATTGATGTAGTATCGTGTGACGAAGAAAATGATGGGTAGGAAACAGACCCAGATGATGTGTAGTTTGTTGAGGCGGCCAGTGGTGAGGACAGTCATACAGACACCCCATAAGTGAAGTTGGCATCATGGGCACTGTGGTGACCTTGGACATAGAGGACCACATGCAGAGCAGCAACAACAGTACACTTGGAATGACTGCACTAATTTTATGCCTGAAATAACAGTTTTCGAAAGAAGATTAATAAAAATGATAATTTGCTGAAATAAGTCAGCCTGGGGGAGTCCAGCAGGCCTTACGTCACCCAGGGCATAAGGGTTAATATGTTAGTAGATGTGTTAGTATACTACAAAAAGAATATGTTGAATTTTTAAAGCTTTTCAGTAGTTTACTGAAGTATCCTCGGGAAAAAAGAAAAGAAAAAGGAAGAATACAATTCTGAGGGTAGAATTGCACTATTTTACTATTTTCAAAGGTAAGGAACAGGATCACATGAAGTTTGACCCCTAGCTTATTTTGTCTGATAATTAAGCCCTTCAGCATGATGATATTCTAATTAAAGGCCTGAAGTTATATTCAAGGAATGAAGTCATTGTACTCGGGGGTGAATACATATTGCTAAAGGAGAGTTAGGTTAGGTTAGGCTTGATCAGGTTAAGTTAGCATTACGGTTTTTAGTAATCAGGTGAAAAAAAGCTATTTAATTTAACCCACTTATACTGTACAAATATTACATAGGTAACCTACACGAATCCAGGAAAAAAGGTCACAAGAAAAAGTCAGAAAAAAAGGCACGGAAAAAACCTAATCTAACTTAACCTAACCTACGTGCAATGCCATCATATATATAATGTATTGTCAATATAGCCCAAAGGCGAAGTGGCCAGCAATCCCCAAGCCTATATGTACAAGTCATGTGACTTTTTCCGTTCATAACCTGCACACCTCTCACTACAGCCCTGTGATTACATATTACTACTTCAATTAATAATAATAATGGGTCACCTGAAGAATGTCTACCCCTGTTATTATTATAATTATTAATATCAATATTATTTTATAGATGATGTTTTTGTTTGTTACACTAGGTCCGTCTCCCCAGGCCATAACATGTTCACTCCTCACGCGGCGTCCCTGTAGTTGTCTTATGTCTCTGACTCATTACACAGGTGCGTAAATATTTCGGGAATATAAATTTTATTTAATATTTTAGATAAATAACTGTTTAAGATAACCTGAATTGAATGGCTAGATGCCTAAATGTTACAGTATATTTAATAATTATGTAATTTTTCTTTGCCAAACTTATCATGTACGTTGCTGGAACCAACAAGTAATGGGAATTAGTAATTATCAGGGCGATCACTACTACCGGGGTGTATTTCATCTTTTGAAATGTAACCATTCTTTAATAGTTTAGAATTTGTAAAGGTTCGTCAGTGACTATATTAGGAAATTAAGGTAATTGCTGAAAGTATTACAATCAGAAGTTGTTTGGTTTTTGTAAGTTTTTCCACAGATGTTCTTTATCATTATAGTAAGTATTTTAGAGTTAAATATTTAGTATTGGCCAACACCTACTTATGTATTGAGTCTTGGTATTGTTTTACTTTTGGACATGGCGCGCCCCAAAGCTTAAAACTACTGAAACATTTAGATCTCATTATTTTGAGTCTTTTGAACCTCATTTATATTAGTTGGAAATGAAAAGGATAGGTTAGGTTAGTTTAATCCAAGCCTACCAGGGGTCAGAGGGCAGAGCCCCGGCTAGAGGTTTGGTTTGGTTAGGTTAGACGACTCGTTTTCGTGTTTTCCCCCACTCAAAACCCCGACTTCCCAGGCGCGACCTCATTATCGATGGGGGAGGGCAAAAACGAGCAATTTCCTCCAAAAATGAAGGTCAGGTTCGTTTAAAACACACTAAAATACATGTACACTAGAAAAACATTGGTCAACCCCTAGGGACTCGTGTCCAGAAGTAAACATTTACCTGAGTCTTACATAAGGAGAAAGAGAAAAAAAATAAAAACCATTTTTTATAAGTGTTTCCATGGGAAATATATATTTTCCGAGTATTTTAACCGATGAAATTACCAACAATACTACTTGTTCAATTTCATTCAGCTTTTTACACAGATTTTCTTACCACTATATTAAGTATTTTAAGAGGCAACATTTACTAGGACCTAGTACAACCTGACCTAACCAACCAAAGAAATCCACCCAACCATCCCTAACTTCCTAGCTGGGGGAAATTTAGGTCAGCCTATGTTTTTATTTTTTAATGCTTTAAATTATTTTGATCTTGCCTAACCTAACCTAGCCACAGAACCCAGGAACTATATCTAACCTAGCCTAAATTCCTAAGATTCCCCGGATGATCCAAACTAAATAATACTGGGGGTTGCTTGACATGACAATATTCGTATTATTATTATTTCAGCAATTTTGCTTTAGTAGCTCTCTTTATCTAAACAGCATAGATTTTTTCAAGCAGTGATGTCAATGATTTATTGTTTATAAGATAAAAGCCAACTAGACGTTCCAAATCTGACATAATTTCCTATAGGATTGAAAAGTTTTATTCTGTTATCTTACCTTATTGGAATAGTTGGTGGGTAGAAAGAAGCTGTTGCAAGGAGAAAATGATGGAATTGCTAGAAAATGGTAGATAACAGAACAAAACTTACAAAAGTGAATATTTTGGTGTAGGGTAATATTTTTGTTGTAAAAAAAAAAAGATAAAACAATGAAGCATACTTAACTCTAATGACTAACCCCCTATGGTTTTTCTAACTTAGATTGGTTCATTTTATTAACGAATGTTCCTGAACTTGGCAACTGATATGATCCAAGTACAGTATAAACGATGAGCACTCGTAGCATTAATGTACCAGCTGTAGGTGTATATTTACTACAAGGGAATAAGTTGCAAAAATTGTATTACAGAAAATGTTATTCTTGTGCACTTTTTGCCAATTCCACGAGGTAAGAAGACATTTATCTTGCATGGTGAAGTATATTACGGTACATGTTAACTAAGAACATGAGGTTTTATATATAGAAGATAAATGCTTTATTACCCCATGAAAATTCCGTTTATGACAAGGATTTACATTTTGTACAATAATATTTTTGCTATATTTTTCATCCTGAAGAATAATCTATGTCAGCACACCACAGCACCATGTTCACTGTGTACATGGTGAAGAATGTTTCCAGAAACTCAGTAGCTACTGCTCTATTATACAGGGTATATTCATTGGATATAAGATGAACCAGTCTAACTTACTTATTCTATCTTAGGTTAGTTAGCTTAGTTTAGTTTGGTTCATTATATCTCCAATTAATCATATACAGTACTCTTACAGTATAGTAATACTGTACTGTACAGTATGGCAGTACTGTAGGTGGTAACTTGTTCCTCTGTATAAGTGTTCATGTGTTTGAAAAACTGTTCAGGAGGAAATCGCTGCCAGTAATCTTACAAAATGTGCTAATCCACGTAATTTCTTGAAATTGCCAAAATAATATTACAGACTTTAGCAAAACAGTTATCCTCTTCTATACAATATTGTGTAGTAGTTAAGTAAAAGGGTCTTGGTTAACCAGCTACCTAACAAAAAATACCTAGAGGAAACCATTTCTTACCTTAAGAATAGAGCAAATCAGGTTGACGTATAGAAAATTTTGTAATCATGATTTTATCCTGAGGATTGCCTATATAACTAGTCCAGCCCATTTTACTAGTCCAGGATGACCTTGGCTAAAATGCTAACAATTCCTATTATTTGAACTCCTGTAGTTCCCTCAAATATTAAAGAGCCTGGTGTCAAGAAATGGAAAAAGTACAGTATAGCATTGCATAGTGTCTAGAGCACACCTACACTACAACCTTGAGGAAGTTTTTCACGGTATTTAATAAGCTTTACTTTATGTTTCAGGAACCCTCTAAAGTGACACACGATGGAGAAGCCAGAAAAACCTGAGGCTCCCAAAACTGTGGCAATGGTGTATGTGTGTGGAGGTAAGAGACTTGTTGTCATTATGATATACTGCACAGTACTAACTCCTCATCAACAGTGGTTTTGAGTAACCACATTTTGTATATCGTTTTACCTACCACGGTATCCAGTTTTGAGCATCCAGGGCTCACTTCATATGTCTCTTCATGATAAATTATCCTCATCTGCTACACCTGTACCGTCTCCCTTCTTGGCTCTATACATCAATTTGTTTATTTTTATCCTTCATTTAATGTGCTTTATGGCTTACTGCTTTCGTGCCAGTAGTTGTTACTTAGCACTCAGGTTTGGGGTGGCAGCCACACACCTGGTCCTGTCGTCATCCTGCTCACCGACTCACTTATCACTCACAAGCGTATATACAGTATATTTGTTGAGAAAATAGATTTTAACTACATATATATAGGAACACCATTTATCATTTTTATTATTTTTTTTCCATATTGAAGGAAATTATTTCATCTAGAATATATTAGTACTGTATACAGTACAGGTACAGCCTAAATATTAGTGTGAAAATATCTAATAAAACAAATTAGACTGATTTGCACAAACATACACTCCACAGTACTGTACATCCACAAGTTGTGTGCTCTGAGATAGCTGAGAAGTTTGGGCTGCTGCTACATATGAAGCAGATGTGAACCTCCTCTGGTA